TTTTTTTTTTAGTTTATTGTTCTTAGACGTGTAAATACTTTTTTCATGGTTCAAAAAATTTCAGCAATATTTTGCTAACAGACCTCTACTAACAATGATGACAAACCACAGAAATGCCTTTAGGCATCAGGTGATGCTGAAACTCCTGAGTCAGCAGCTCAAAACATAACTGTTTTCTGTAAGACAGAAAACGTTTGTCCGGTAGATGAGCTGGATTGTGAAAAAGTGAAGCGATCAGATTAAAGACCTAATGAGTGTCTGAGAGAAAATAAAACAGGTAAAAATGTCGGAGGTGATTTGAGGCGGCGTCCTTGGGACGCCTTTCCACCTGACTGGATGTTTTATGAGCTTTAAGGAGGCGGGGCCTTAATCCAGCTGACAGGAGGATTTTGATGATGGAGGGAGGGAGAGGGTAATAAAGCTGAGTGCTTCTCTCCTGGAATGAGGCTGCAGAGATTGGAGAGGTGTTTCAAATATTACTGGAGGAAGCATATGTCCTGTTAATCTGCCTCAAACCGGAACACAAGTCTCACAAACACAAGCCTGCGTGTGAAATTTAACGTGAAACAGTAAATAATTTCTGTGCATCTCGTTCTTCTCTTCGCAGACCTCATTCGACTCCTCCTTCATCCTGAGTGGAAAAAAACAACTTTTGATGCAAATGGAGTGCATTAAAATTAAGTGTTCTGTTGGAGTGCAGCCAAACCGAGCAGCAGAACCGTAAATCAGCAGCAGTGGACTTTGTTTGTTTACAGACTGACCATTTGGCCCCAGTCCGGCCCATGAACCACTACTTTAAGAACGCTGGAGGTGATGTTTTAATCCACTGAATCTCCACAGTTTGGTTTGAGAGATAACTTTGCTCTTGATTTAGTTCGAAGCTAAATGTTTACRATGTGAGAAAAACAGCTGTTTTCCTCCGGACCGACCCGGTGACAAGAGAAAGATGAAAGAATGGGATTAAATCTGGATTATCACTGAAACCCTGAAGCAGCTGCCTTCATCTGAACCCATTTATAGATTACGTTTTGATTGTTGACGCGGCCCCCCCCTGTGGATTTAAAAGACCCAAATGGAAAAGATCAACGATTTGGACCACCCTCTTCTGGGAGAAAACACCGGGAACAACCGGGTACCTGGGCCAGTGCTAGGAACTGGACCTGGTCAGGCCCAGGTCGGGGTGTTTAGGGGRGTCCTGGTTCGGTGTGAGGAGGACCGGGCCTACCCCCCGCTGGCGTGGAGGAGCTTCTGTGGACGTCCTCCTGAGCTCCAGCAGCAGCAGCTGTTGGACCCGTGCTCCTTACCTCGAACCCTGGAGTCCTTTTACCCCGCGGGACCCATCTGGGGCCAGCCGGACTCCCTGCTGAGCAAGGACTACCTTGAGACCACCTTCGTGGACATCAGGCCCGGCTCGACCCTGGAGAGGAAGCTGCTGGCCGACACGCAGGACTTYCATGGGTCCTACAGCATGGATGACGAGGATGACCTGCTTCCTGACTCTGATGTAAGACATCCTWCAGGAAGTCCTTCACGTTAAAGCTCAGTCCCAGGGGACACAAGGAGGCGGTCTCTGCAGACTCGTGAGGAGTTTCTTGTTTTGGAAGAGGAGTTTGTCCAAGACATGATTGGTCTGTTTGACTTTTGTTGATGTAGATTGTTAAAGATGTGATTGGTTGGACTGACTCCAGGAAGCAGCTAGATTTTTTAAATATAGACATCAATTTTTTGACCTCTGCCAATTACGTTTAGGACAAACTCCGCCCACACAAAGAACTCCACCAATCACGTTTAGGACAAACTCCACCCACACAAAAAACTCAGCCGAAAATGTTTAGGACAAACTCCACCCACACAAAAAAACTTTGGCGATTACTTTTAGAACAAACTCCGCCCACACAAAGAACTCTGGCGATTACTTTTAGGACAAACTCCGCCCANAACTCTGGCGATTACTTTTAGGACAAACTCCGCCCATACACAAACTCTGCCAATCACGTTTAGGACAAACTCCACCCACACAAAAAACTCTGGCGATTACTTTTAGGACAAACTCCACCCACACAAAAAACTCATCCGAAAATGTTTAGGACAAACTCCGCCCACACAAAGAACTCTACCAATCACATTTAGGACAAACTCCACCCACACAAAAAACTTTGGCGATTACTTTTAGGACAAACTCCGCCCACACAAAGAACTCTGGCAATCACGTTTTTAATAAACTCCACCCACACACAAACTCTGCCAACCACGTTTAGGACAAACTCTACCCAAACAAAGAACTCCACCAATCACGTTTAGGACAAACTCCGCCCACACAAAGAACTCCACCAATCACGTTTAGGACAAACTCCACCCACACAAAAAACTCTGGCGATTACATTTAGGACAAACTCCACCCACACAAAAAACTCCACCAATCACGTTTAGGACAAACTCCGCCCACATAAAGAACTCCACCAATCACATTTAGGACAAACTCCACCCACACAAAGAACTCCACCAATCACGTTTAGGACAAACTCCACCCACACAAAGAACTCCACCAATCACGTTT